TGCAAATTCGGTGATAATTGAGTGATATTCATTCAGTTGTTCAATTCAAAGTTTGCTATTGAGGAGATGTAATTTTTGATAGTTAGTTAATGAAACATCGTTTTCCTTTCAATACTTTTAACTTTACATCTGCAGATGTGTTCTTGTTTAAGGGTGAAGTGCAACAAATTGAATTTTCTGAACCGCTTTTGTCCGGAGATTACCGTTTGCTACAAGTGGATCCCGAACTAGCCGATCAGATTGAGAAAGGTTCAAGGTTTGTCCACGGTTGAATTGATTTCATCAATTGCTTCTTTTGAATTTCGTCAAACAACCTCATTTTTCCTTAATTTTAGTTATAATATTTTCATTGCTATCGTTGTTGTTGCTTGCAACATTGTTTCATTGATATTTTCATTTCTAGTTTGACATTCCGTGGTGAGTTGGATGACTATCCTGTGCTATGTACGAAGGATACGACGTACTGTGTGAAGGAGGCCGAAACGTCGAATACACTCTTGGTTTTACCTCAGTTGGATTTTACCAATGATAAGAGTGATGAAAACGAGCGAATTCTGGCAACGCGTAAGGTGATCGCAATGCAGTCGAGATATCTGGAATTGAAGAAGATCAATGTGGTATCGTCGAGTCGTCTTAGAGAGTTGTTGCGAGAAAATGAATTGCAGTGGGATGCGGACGAACAAGCTGACGAGAACATGGAACAGAACGCAAAATTGTATGCTTTCGTTCATCATTTAGTTCCAAACAGTGTTATTTCAACAGTAGTATAATTTTGTAACTAACAGTAAGGTTAATTCTTTTATGATTTCAATTAGTGTTTTGTTCAGATATACATTTGATGACCTGTTGGATGTTGTGCAAATGAGTGAAGTGCAGTTGAGGCAAGCTCTACAGCATTTGCCCGTTATTCAACAAAATGGTATGATTTTATTGAATTGACTTTTGTTTCGTTTTCAAAATTTGATATGTCTCACGAGTCAACATTTCTTATTGTTACTACCATTGTTGTTATTTTCAGGAACACGATAAATGCGACATCAAGAAATTGAATGCATTCTCATATTCATACTCAAATCATAATAATCTTATCATCTAGTCAACTTTTCCAAATCCCAGCTATTTATTTGACAAATATTGTATCCTACTTATCGGCTGTTGAAGGTTATTACCGAATGTTGTCATCGATTTATCGTGATCAACTGCTGATGGAACTAACAGACTGCTGTGATGATGATGAAGAGCCTGACATCCAGATCAATTCGATACGTCTGAAAACTCTCACAGAGGCACTGCAGAGGCGCAATCCTACGAAAGAAATTCCTTCAGACGCCGTGCTCTGGCTTCTGAAAGCCCATTGCACTGTTGTGAATGGACTTGGAGGTATGTGTGAATATTTTTGAACTAAGAACATCGGATTTGGTATGAAATTTACATTCGTTGAATACTCGTTTGGATATCCAATGCAGACGAAAGTAAAAGTTGAAAAAGGGCAAAGTGGATTGCAATATTTCTGAATCGGTGTTTCGCATTTCAGAAGGTGATGAGACTAGTGAATTTGCGCTTGATGAACGTGCCGTATGCCGATCGAAGATCTCACAACTGCTCCGAGCTGCAGTTCGTTTCGAGTATTCGGCATTCGAGAAACTTATACGACAGATGCTGCCAGAGGGCATCGAAATGAAGGCTAGCGTCATTTTTCATTTCGATGTACTGAGTAAATTTATGCGAATGAAAATTACGAACTGAAATAATGATAATCATTGCGTTCAGTGATTATATATAGAACCTTACGATTTGTACCAATTGATTATTTTCGTTGCATTTCGTTGAGNTGAAGGCTAGCATCATTTTTCATTTCGATGTACTGAGTAAATTTATGGGAATGAAAATTATGAACTGAAATAATGATAATCATTGCGTTCAGTGATTATATATGTAGAACCTTACGATTTGTACCAATTGATTATTTTCGTTGCATTTCGTTGAGCACATTCATGCAGTGGAATGCAATTCCACCCTTTAATGGATCGTCTATTTTCAATTGTGGAATGTTTTGACGAGAATTGTAACTGTGGTAAGAAATCATCATGTTTTGAGTGTTGTGTAAGCAGTGTGATCGAATTGAAAACTGAATAAGTGAGCACGTTTAAGGAC